GTGTTTATTGACTTTAGTAAATATTATGACAGTAGTAAATATGGTGGAGATATGATTAACCAAGATCTTCAACCAAATAGTAGAAGACATTTTCAAAGAATTACAATGAGAGGAATATAAAATCAACATTAACAGATAATACATAAATCAACTAAGATAGTCCTTATAATGACAGACAAAGAACAATTAGAGCGAATGGCACAACAATTCAATATAACAAGCAATATGAACTGCAACAAAAGGAAAGTGATGATGATCAAGAAAAAACCCAAGAAAATGTTCAAAAAAATCAAAAAGAAGAATTAAAAATCCTAGTTAAACAAAACAAATAGAAGAAGATAGTTAATATCTACATATATTTGGGACAGATAATAAATTTAAATAAAGACAACTAAACTATAGAAACATAGAGACAAACATGATTAGCATGAGATTGTTTGGTAAACTTAGCGACATATTGAAAAATAAAAAGGATCCTCAATATCTAAAAAGGAAACTGTTCAACCAGCGCATTATTCTCGTCCTTACATATGGATGTCAAACTTGAATTCAAAAGTTACTATTGACAGAATAGCAGCAAGAGATAAAGAGCAATGGAAAGACAAATGATCAACATACAACATTGGAGACCCTGGACATACAAACGAAAACGAGGAAGATCACAGACCACAGAATATTAGATGTCTCAAAGCTAATTGATAGATATGAGACATTAAAAGAAGTATAATATATATCCCCGAAGTAAAAAAAATACCACTAAAGCTACACATATTTAGATGTATACCACTGTTCTACCTCTTTAAAAAAGATTAGAATTGCCAGTTCACAACCATATTTTAGAACATATTAAAAAGTAAGATAATATATGGTTAAATGCTCGAATATATAAATTTTACAAATAAAAGGCAGATATCGAGCACAGTTTTTTTATTAAATCTTGCCCAAGTACTTTCGCTCTCAGATGATCTTCAGGGGCATTTTGTCAAAAGTTGTTGGTTATTTAGTACTTCAATGAATGTTATAAACATTAAATACATTTACACAAAAACTAACACTAGACAAAAGACAAACAGTTAATAAAATTGTTTCAATGCTACATTGTGAGCAATGTAGCATTGAAATCATTCTGTCTCAAGCGTTGCCCACAATGTAGCATTGAAACAATTTTTAAACTTTTTGTCCTTTGTCTAGTCTTAGTTTTTTGCATAGTTTGATGCCTTGATTGAGAGGTCAGATTGAGAGATCAGGTGGTTTATCTCGGAGGCAATTTGGTTTTTGTAAAGGGAAAAGCACTATTGATGCAATCGTGAGTGTACTCGAAGAATTGCACAACAGAGGGGATGAACATCACTGGGCGGCCCTGCTGTTGTTTGATGTTAATAATGCATTTAATACGCTGCAGTGGAACGAGGTAATAAAGGCAGTGGAGGAGAGAGAATATCTTGGTTACCTGATGAATGTGGTGGAATAGTATCTGTCCGAGAGAAGGATTGTGGTGGAAAACACACAAAGGGCACGATCGTGGACGTGACGGCCGGGGTCCCCCAGGGATCTGTCTTGGACCCGACGCTATGGAACCTGGCATATGACGGAAGGTCATATGAAAACCGGCCTGGCATATGAAAACCAAAGCCATTATTCTGAAGGGGAAAGGCAACAGGCAAAGTGTTGAATTACAAAGTGCGGGAGCATGTCTAACACCCAAGAAGCATGTAAAGTACCTAGGAGTGGCATTGAACCAGAATGGAAAATGGAGGGAACACGTGCGGGAGGTGGCCCGGAAGGCTGCGAATAAATCGGCTGCATTGGGTAGGGTTATGCCCAACATTGGAGGATCCAAATCCGAGTCTTACACGAGTGGACAGAACATGTCTATTGCGAGTGACATGCGCCTACGGGACCGTCACTGTATGTGTTCCGTTACATATTTTGGCGGTGGAAAGAAAAGAGCTCTATGAGACTTACTTTACTTTATCGTGTCCGGACTTTGTTGGCGAGTCACAAATCTTCGAGGGTACATCTATGATGCATTCTGCATGTAAGAAGATGTTCCATATTCTGTGTTTCTCCAGTCAGTTCACATCATCTTGGTCGATCTTTCCCCATTTTGCCATGTTTGATTTTACTGGAGCTATCCCCGTTCTTATCCTATTCATAGTTCTCCACGTTTTAAAGTCTAGGGATTGGCCGGTCCATTGAACCTAGGGAAGAGGAAAATACTCAGCGGTTCATCCTGCACTGTTCCAAAGAAGCTTTTCCTACATTTTAGTCGCTTTCGTGGTGTTCGGGCTTTGTATAGGACATGCCGCTCGTCCGTGATCTGTTTAATTTTCTCTATGTCCTCTGTAACGCTTCTGCGTATTGAGGGTTCTGCAAAACCCGCTGCTTTACATAGGTTTGAGATTTGCGTTGGTTTCATTCACCCCGTTACTCTGCTCTTAGGAAAGTTGTTAGAAGTTGAAACTAGAGAAGTGGATCAGACTGTATGAGTTAGAATGCGTGAGTTAGAATACGTGAGTCAGACTGTGGGGAAGGAGGAAATGTCCGTCTCGAAGTGATGCCATACTAGGAGCTATGAGTCTTCTACGCGCTACCTGGTACGAGACAGGGAGCCTCCTTGTTAATGAATAGAGTGTGGATGTGGATAAATGGAGAATGAATGAATGAAGGTACTGCTTCGGAAGTGATGCCGGCCTTACAGCGGCCATTTCGCTTTTGGATGGCTGGATGATAAGAGGAGGGCCTGGTTTAGCAGGTAGGCGTTTGGCGTAGACTCGGCGACTAGAAGACATTTTAAAGTATCTCGGGAACTATCGCCGGGAAAACGAAGAACGAATCCTGCACTAAGATCAGTCAGGCGGCGTCCTGGTCTGAGATGTCTTTTGAAGAAGATTCCAGACCCCCCTCTATAAAGACGAAAAATAAAAAGTTTTTGTATACATGTATAATGTTTACAACATTCACTGATATTTTGGATAGCCAACAATTTTTGATGAAATGTCTCTAAAGAGTGCAAAAGTACTTGGACATAAAAATTTATATTAAAAAGTATGACATCTTAAAAGAACATCAATCGCATTTTAGGAAGACATATTCATATCAAAAAAATGATACTACAATTAGCTTTTATAATTCACAGAAGAGAAATACCGACGGTTTAACATACCTTTCGAAACACGGTGAATGGCTCGTATCATTTTTAGAAATGTAAAGTCGTTGTTAGTGCCGAGATTCGAATTCGTACGTATCTTGCCGCTGAGCTACGGCCGTTCACGTAGATTCAAATTAAATGCTACTGCAGATAGCACGAGATCCCCCTGCAAGATCACTACATTCATAACATAGTTAATCAAACTCATAAATTTAAGAATAGGAGAATACAAGATGCCAGATCGATAACAAGATGCCAGTCAAAAAGTAGCCACAAATATTTTTAATTCAATTAATAGTAATTAATTTTTGAACAAAAATTTTATTTCGTTTATTTATTTTTTAAATAAAATATGGTGCTCATGACTTATATGCATGTTTTTTTATAGCAAATTAAAGCTATATTGTTGTAATATGATGATATAAGGTAAAAACTGCGAGGTATCAAAGTTAAGGTAAGAGAGCTAGCGTGCAACCCCACTGGTTTGCCATGGCTATACTACATAAGCAATTGTTATTTTTCTTTTCTAGAGATGTAAACATCAGCGTTCGTTGGCGTTATACGTTTTGTTCAGCGAACATTTTAAACACCTGTTTAATTTAAGTTTAAAATAGATTCAATAGTAAATTGTTAGAACGTAAAGTCAGTTTAAGAACAATAAAAAATTGATACCGGTACCCATGAAAAATAATTCATTGTGAAATAATTATATAAAATAAGGTAGAATTGTAAATCTGTATGTATGTAATTACGAACATATTTATGTTATACAACTTAGGAATAACATTAATCTGATAAAACTAAATTATATTAAGTTAAATATAATTTAAATTACTGGGGAATATTCTATTTAGAAGGAATTCATGTGTTGCCGCCTGCTTAAAAACGGTAACACTGAGCTTTAAGGTTCCATAAGATTTACATAGCCCTATGCTGCTCCTACTGCAAAGTCACTGTGAAACGCAGAATGGTCTCATTTGTGTGTGTGTTTTTAAAGCATGCACCGATAGAGTGTTAATAATATACATAATTAACACTTGTCAAACCGGCGCCGTTGCGCGTTAACTATATTTTATTTTATCTTTTTTAACAGCTGGCAACCCTAATTTGCGACCATTTTTTCGAAGGCAACCTTATAATCATCATATTAAAATAAATTAAGTTTTAATTTGATATAAAAAATATGCATATACATCATGTGTGGCGTATTATATTTAAAAAATAAATAAAATAAAATTTTTGTTCAAAAATTAATTACCATCAATTTAAAAATATTTGTGGCCACTTTTTGGCTGGCAACTTAAATGTATGTAAAAATGTGAGTTTGATTAACTATGATATGAACGTAGTGATCTTGTAGTGGGATCTTAGACTAAGAAATAATGATGAGAAAATTAAAATTGTTACATCCATAAAATATTTGTGGTTCCAGTTTGTTGTTTTATTTACATTGAATGGCAATTTAAATTACATTTTGAAAAATATATACAAAAAGCTGTATTCTGATAAAACTTCTCAATTATAGTATCTCCAAAATCAAAGGATAGTAATAATTCTCTTGCTAATGATTTACTTAGTAGCATCATTTAAAAAAAATTAAGAAATATGCCTAATGTAAAGACAAGAATGCCATAATCAAACCAATCTCCACTGAGTAAATTCCACTTATGCCGTTCCATAGTGATCGATGCTATATTGTAAAACTATTAAATATTTTTATAATACAAGTATTGCAAAATACAAAATAGAGTTCAAACATACCAACAAAAAAAAAATATTTTTTTCTTATCCCTTATAAAAGTCAACAAGCTTTAGAGGATCCCTTACTATTTCTGTATTTTATAGTTTATTAAAATCTACTTACCTCCATGACTAAATAGACATTATTAGCAGATTCTTTGCAGTCTAACAAGGCAACAACATTTTCATGGTGAAGTTCAGTCAGTTCCTAAAATAAAATTAATTGTAATTATATTGTAAGTTCTCTTAAACAACAATTTTTTCTATTAAGAAAAATACTATCAGTTGGAAAACTACCCCAATGCTTCTTCCAAATCTAGACTCAAAAGCAAATCAAAAGAAAACATCATTTTTCCAAAAAAATAGATGCCTTTGAGATGTATACCGGGTGGTGAATCGTCAAACGGGTCATAGGAAACTCAATGGGAAATTTTAAATTGTTGAATTGCTGCTTCCCTAATTATTTTAGATCAAAAGTCATAAAAAACTATTTGTAGAGGACTAAATTCTAAATTAAAAACAAATGTTAAAACCATTCTACGAATCAAATGTGCTTCAAAATTTTGCAAAAATATAATAGATTTTTCAAACCACCCCTAAAAGTTAGGACACATGTAATACAAGAATATATTATAATGTGTGTGTTTTATCATATTGATGTCAGATGTTTGACAATTTGAAATGTCAATTTTTTTTATTTTATGATTAAATTATAAACAATGAATTTTACTAAATACTACTACTACTGAACAATATTACTTTGTGAACAATAAATTATATTGTTTACAAATCGATCAATATAATGAAATGTACTCAGTTGACGAAAAATCGCATAATGTTGTATTCAGGCAATAGCGCAAACCTTTTCCTGTTACTACCGGATCTTTATTTAACGTAAGATATTCTAATACACTAAAATTTAATTCCATGTTACGTTAAGTTATACAACAATTCAACGAATTCCAATATACTGTTACTGTGATCTTTATTCCTAATAATAATATATGATAATTTATAAACATAAAACTATAACAAATGTTATAATAAAACATGAATAAAACATTTTTATTATTGCTCTTTTCTCCTTAACTGAGTACATTTTTTAATCAACTTAATTTTTCTTTTAAATAATATATCACAAAATTTTGGCCATTTAAATCATAGATAAATATAATATAGTTGATTTAAATATTGTCAAATATTAGAAACGTCAATATGACAAAACGCAACACATAATACACATTCTTTTCATGGCGTCTGGCCTGACTTTTAGGGGTGGCCTAAAAAATGTATTATATTTTAGCAAAATTTTGGAATACATTTAAGTCGTAGAACAATTTTAACAATTGTTTTCGATACATATTTGAGTCCTCTACGAATAGTTTCCCATGACTTTTGGTGTAAAATAATTAGGGAAGCAGGAATTCAACAATTTAGAATTTCTCATTAAGTTTCCTATGGCCTGTTTGACGATTCACCACCCTGTATATATATATATATATAGATGAATGTTGAAAATTCCATGGTTACAAAGAGTTACTAATGTTGAGGTACTTGTTGCATATAATCAAAGAGAGGAAAATGCAGTACTTGGGTCATATGTTAAGAGGCAAAAGATATGAATTACTATATGAGTTATACTGGAAGGAAAAGAGGAAAAGTACAGGACTAAAGATCAGTAGGAAGACTCCAGAACTCGTGGCTGAAAGACCCGAGGAGATGGTTCGACCGCTCATCCTCATCCTCAGAAATCATGTTTCCAAAATCAGAAAACTACAATTGCCATTTGGATCGACAACCTTCGAAAGGAGACAGCTCCACTAGAAGAAGAAGAAGAAAGAAAACAACTGATGCTGAAAGTTTTTGTATAATTTTGTTGTAGACTATAATAGTCAGTTCCTTTTTGTTAATTGTAAACTATATTTTTTTTATAGTGTTTGAGGCATTCTTGAAAATGTATAAGGTTTAGTTGCTATAACATGATACTATGGATCCTGAGGTTAAACATTTGATAGAACTGCTGTTAGGGTAACACAATCATTTGGAATTAACTGTACAGCTATTTCTAAGTCCTAGTTACTTGCTAGCTACTCTGCACATTATAATATTAATAGCTTTCTTTGAATGAAAGAACATTGAATGAATTTTTTATTGCTCTGAATAGATACAAGTATTTACACTTTCCCATGAACACATGCAGTACTTGAGTTCTCCTTTTCTTAATAAATTAGCTTTGACTGTAATTAAGTTACAGTGTTAATATTTTCCCATGTGAATGAAAACCACTCCTTTCAATTAGCTTAGGCCGAAATAATAAAGGAAAGAGTAAAACCCTGTTTCTGTCAGTTGTTAGTTGTATATCACAATGCATTGTGACATTAATATAGTTTAGTTGTGAAGAAGACAGCTCCTTTGGCGATTAGAATAAGGTTACACCAAATGCACCTGTTTTTGCTCATATCAAATATTCCCTATGAATGTGGTTCATGTGCTGTAAGTATAGTGTTAAGTTTATTTGACTATATTTTTGGTTTTTATTAAGATCAGCTCACCATACTGATGATAGCCAATAGTCAGAAATATGTATTTATGACTGCCTTCCACCTTTTTTACCTATTTTCATTTATATATATATATATATATATATATATATATATATATATATATATATATATATATATATATATATTGTTATGATATGTAAAATCGAGAAAAATATTGGTTTGATTAAAATATTTCAAAGTTCAAAAACATTAAAATAATTCAGATAAGTAGGATAATAACCAACAAACATTTCGAAGAAGGAAAGTTTTTAAATTTTTGGATTACCTGTATTAAACAAAATGTAAGCTATGCATAAATTATTTCTTTGTTATACTTGAGTGACCCGCATAATTTTAAGTGAAATCCAAAGACAATTGAACCGGGTTTTCCAAATACATTAATGCAGTGATTAAAGACAATAGAAGAGATTTTAGAAAGAGGTTTTTGTTAGTTTTTAAGAATTGTAGAAAAATATTATTTGTAAATAAGTTTTAGGAAATTTTATAATTATAGATAAAAAGTTGTTTGTTATCGAAATGAAAAAATGGGGGAATTGTGACGAGCTTTGATTGGCGGAGATTGAAAAAGGTGGGATAGGTATGTAGGAATGAAAGTTTAGCTAGATTTAGGAGAGAGAAAAGATAATCAGTTGGTTTCCAAGGGTGCAAGGCGAACGGCCGTTGTTCTCGGGTAGTTTCCCAGAGGTAGGAAGCAGTAGCAGTGAAAGTTTGTGAGTTTTCGTGTAGTTAGTGTATCTGACAGAAGCTGATCCAGTAAAATATTGTAAGTCATATTTTTCTACTTATATTCCAAGAGTCACTGTTCAGGCCAACGAGAGATTCAGTTTATCGTAAAGAAAAGATATTCCAAGAGTCATTTTTCACTCAGGCCAACGAGAGATTCAGTTTATTGAGAGAAGAAGAAGCTAGCATAATTTGAACGATTCGTGCATTTGAAGGAGATCATTAAGGACGATATACTTGCAATAATTTGTTGTAAGATTGCTGATTACCTAGGGAGCGGCCACGAGTAAACAATATAGTCTACAAATAACAAGGATTTGGACCACTCATCATCAGAGAGAGATAGTTTTGTTTTCTGCAGTTTTTCTTTCATTGATAACACAATTTTTACACTTAATGCAGAAAGGATATAAATATTTTGATTAGGAGATTTAGAATAATATTTGGATTTTGAGATTTCAACTAATATTGTTTGTACCATTAATTGTGAAGGTTCACGTACGTAGAACAAAATTTTGAGAATCATTATATGAGATTTGTTTATCGAAAACATTTGATTGTGAATTTTATTTCATTATTTTATTTCAATATATAACGTTAGATCCTATATGTTTTTTTTTATTATTCCGGTATTCTTTGGACCTTACCTTCCACATGTAATAGCATAGATATTGAAGCACGAATTTAACCCTGAGATAAGAGAATTAAAAAGTGTGATAGAGTCATAATCATATCATTTAAATAATTTTAATTAATTAATTAATTAATTAGCTAATTAATTGCGTGGCGCACCAAGACTTTAAATATCACAATAATATATATATATATATATATATATATATATATATATATATATATATATACAAAACAAGTAAAGACAGTATTGACACATTATGTCATCATAAACTTTAGAAATGCCATTTTCCCAACAATCTGACAGAAATTAATCATAGGAAAATATTTCCATCATTTATAATCAAGAAAGAAGACAAAAGAAGCGACAATGTATTAAAGAATATAAATATCTACAAAAAAATCTGATTCAGATATTAAGTAGATAGACAGGTTATCATATTGAGCCAGAAGAAAAACTGGAGTTGTGCTTACTTTATGAGGTTAAAAGAAAAACTAAAATGCAGAATTTCCTAGTATTTTACTGTGCTCTATATTGCCATAATCTTCTTCTTCTTCAGCCTTAAGTAATCCAACTTTGGACATAGGCCTCCCCTAAATCAATCCAGTGTCTTCTATTTTGTGCCACTTACTTCCAGTTGTGTCCTCCGATCTTCTTAATGTCATCAGCCCATCTCATTTGTGGTCTTCCTCTGCTTCTCTTTCCTAACCATGTCCAGTCCTAACCTAATGCAGTTGGGCATTGTGTCCTGCGAAACTTCATTTTAATTTGGCAGCATGTTCTCCTGCATCTTTTACTTTAGTTTTTGCCATAATCTACTGTCAAATAATTCATTTATGAAATGGGAATAAAGAACTTCAAAGTTAACTTTTCCTGAGCTGGTTAGAGATGGAACTAATGAAAGTCCAGTTAGTGGGACAAACAGTGACACCAAATTTACTACTAAACGTTCATATGAAAATTCTATAGATCCTATTAGGATCTTATTCTTCTTCAAACTACAGCTCTGCTCATCCTTGCTCTTCTGAACATTCTGAAGTGATTCTTTAGAAGTGTTACTGAATTGGACCTTACAAAATAAAGTAAGGGTATATACCTAAACCAGTGGGGCTTTTTTTCCATTCTTACCTGTTTTGGCGTTCTTGCTTGGATTTGAAGAACTTATGTATTGTATGTCCCTTTTAAGGTGTGACTAAAGCTTATTTTCAATGCAGTTATATAAACTGAATATAAAAAGAATATATAAAATACTAGACATGCTACAAAAGCTCTAAATGGATGGCTGAACAAAATAATAAAAGGGTGGGGAGAAATGTAATTGAGGAAAGGAAGGCTGAAGAATCATTGGTAGCATTAACATTAATCATAAATTAACTTACCTTTAAAATTTTTATTTCCTTCCCAAGCAAATTTTGTGATTTTGCCAAACTCTTCTTTGTTATACTCTTAATGGCAACCGTACATGAGGGATTCTAAAACCAAAAAACAAACAATAAACAAATGGTTTTATTTTTGTTTTTAATTGAGAAATCACTGACCTCTCGAAGTCTGCCCTTAAAGACTACAGCAAATGCACCGTGGCCTATTAAATCTTTGCTACTATATTCATAATCTCCTACAACCTCCATATTTGCAATATTTTCTTGAGATGTGTTGAATAAATAATAAATATGATTTCTAAACAATACTTCACTGTGTTAAATGTTGCACTATTTTATATGATCTACATTTTGATCAGCAAATATTGGACTGGCACTCATTTAATTTAGAGTGAAAGAACAGTTAACAGCGTTTGAAATAATTTAATTACGCCTAATATGTTAAAAATAGATGTATTTTTCTACATCACTTCTGCACTGTCTCCATTGTTGAAAATCGACTAAAAGATTCCGTTCAAGAGAATAGCTTCGGAATTTTGTTAATTTCGGTTACTGTCTCACTTTAACACATCAAAACTGGTAATTTTTTATCATAACTACATTTACACTTGTACATCGACTTTCTCTTTTTGCATAACAGAATGTTTGCTGTATTGCACTCTTATTTGACATGAAAGTTACAGTTAACTTCAGTTGTCATTTGCCAATCACATGGCAGTTGACAATTAAAATGCATCATGTCATAATGTCATTGTCAAACAGAAAGATAAGTAAATAATCTGATGTGGCCAAAAAATTAAAATATAGTAAACTCTAGTTTTTTTATAATGTCTTGATAGAAATTAAATGATAACATGGCGTACCAGACTTTAAGGAATGAGTACATGAATATGCCCCCCGTAACGAGGGCATATACCACTGCTTGTGTTATTACAACTCTAGCTGTGGTAAGTTTTTATGCTAGTAATAAATATTCCTAGAAAAATAACATAAATCTCTTGCAGCAACTGGAATTGGCTTCCCCGTTTCAACTCTATTTTAATCCAATTTTAATTGTGAAGCAAGGTCAACTATGGAGGCTGGTAACAACATTCCTTTTCTTTGGGACATTTGGCTTCAACTTTTTTTTCAATATGATATTCACATATCGATACTGTAGAATGTTAGAAGAAGGTTCATTTAGGAATAGGACAGCTGATTTTGTATTGATGTTCCTCTTTGGAGCAGCTTGCATGATTGTATCCTTTTTAAAACTCTAAATAATACATATATACATTGTAATAATGGTTGCAGAGTTGTAGGTTTTAATATTTTCATTAATTAAACATAATCATGGTCTATTAATGTTTATAGTCATTCAATTCTCAAATATGATAATTGACATGGGTGTATTTAAATTCTGTACTATTTTATACATTTTATCAAAAAAGACAGCAATTTAAAAATGTAAATTTTTTGTTGTATAATTTTTTTATTCCACAGTTAGTATTTGTTGGTTATTAAACACATCTGCAATACATATTTTACTAGATAAAGTAGTTAAATACAGTGTGAATGGTGTTGCTGATATTTCAGTATTAAATTTCATGCTCTTCATGAAGAGAATGAGAGAATTTGATTGTTTATAGTTTGTGCTTGGAGTGTTTTTGTAATAGTAATGTCTACTTAAAAAAACAATTCAGTGTGTTACTTTATAAAAATAGCAGTTTTCCATATTTAAATCTGTTGTTGGGCAATTCTATTAGAATGTCATAACAATCTAAATCATTTTAATAATATACTTATCTCTTTTTATATAATATAAATAGTTCACAGTATCGCAGTATCTGTTTGTGATGCTCAATTATATGGACTATATACATAGAACTGTATAGTAGTTCAGGGATATATTTTGAAAGACATTTAGCAAACTGCTAATAGTAAGTTGTCAAGTACACTTCTTACACCCTTTTAGAATTCATGATAAACTATTGATTTATGTAAATTTGATAACAGGCATTGTAGGTCTAGGATAAATTTTAAACTATAGGCCCCACACATCTGTAGACATTTAATATAACCCTTTTAGAATTCTTGATAAACAATTGATTTATTTACAGTGCACAACAGGCCTAGTAGAAATGTATAACTCTAGGTTTCACATCTGTAGACATTTAATACTACATATATGTGCATAAAAGGGGCTTATACTCAAATTTCAAATAATAAGAAAAGAAAGAATGGAAGTATTGGAAACCATCAAGACACGAAAGCTGCATTAACTGGGGCATGTGCTGAGTAATGAGAGATACAACCTACTTCAATTGATTATACAAGGGAAAATCCAGGGCGAGAGAAGTGTAGGAAGAAGAAGAATCTCATGGTTGCGTAACTTGAGGGAATAGTATGGATGCACATCAATTGAACTATTCAGAGCAGCAGCATCTAAGATCAGAATAGCCATGATGATTGCCAACCTCCGTCGTGGAGATGGCAGAAGATATTCAAATTAGATATGACACAATAAGAAGGTGATCTCTTTATGTAGCATTTGCAGACTCTTCAAAGATAGTTTTTCTAGACAGATTGTTTATTACAATCTGACAACAATGATTTGTATAATAATAAAATAAATATTCACTAGTTTGAATGAATTGCCTTCTTGGTAACATTGTTTAGAAAATCTTATTCTCTTCAGGTGCCTCTTTTTTCAAAGTTTGGCTATCATCATAGCTATTTAAATTTTGGATATACCAAATAATTGATTCATTATACAATACCAAATAATTGAATCAAACCAATCCGTGAAGATTTACAGCAATTTTATTTTTCTTCTCCATATATTTTTTTTTCAACAACTTTCCATTTTGCATTTTATATTTATGCCCTCTGACAACATCTCCAAGATGTGACAGTTAGAATCTTATCTGTCCAGCATACTCTCAAATAACCTTCTATTGATATTGAGATGTTTTTAATTAATGCTTGTGGGTCACTAAACTTTTTAATGTAGTTATGTAGATCTGCTTAATAGATCATCATCATCATCATTTTGGCTTTACAACCCTGTGTGGGTCCTAGCCTCCCCAAGAATTTTTTTCCTGTTGTCCCTATCCATCTCCTTCCTCTGCCAAACATGTATTTCCATATTTATCATATCTTGATCTATGTTATCTAGGAATCTTGTTCTGGGTCTTTCTCTTCTTCTTTGACCAATAGGTCTATCAAGAATTTGCTTAATAGATCTTTAGATTTAATTATGTAGTTTAGATCTCTTATTATGTATTGTGGTAGGATATTATATATCATTAATATGAAATGTACCATACATGTTATGTTTTATTCCTTAATATAATTATAGGGTTTTGCATTTTTTGTTAATTTATTATTCTTAGGGCAGGCGTTTACAATAATGTTAGTGTATGTATGGTCTAGGCGAAACCCATTTGTTGGATTGAATTTCTTTGGACTCCTGAATTTTCAGGTAAGATATCTAACATAATAAATAAATAAATCTAATAAGAATGAATTGATTCTTTTGAAATTTTCACTTAAAAGTCAATGATAAGGGTACTTGGACCTAGAAATGTATCAATGTCTCAATCCTAGGCAAACTCATCATTACTGAATGACTAATCAAAGCTAATTAGAAAAACATCATGAACTATTTTGGAAATATTATGAGAAAGAATAATGATTTGCTAAAAAAGCTGGTAGTGTATGGAAAAGTTGAAGGAAAGGCCCAGAGGAAGATCACCCACACACTATATGTTAATCAAATATCACAAATAGTATTCAGATCTGTGTATGATTTTATTCAAATGGCTGAAAATAAAAATGATGATTCATATGCCACAATGCCATTACAAGTGAGAACAACTATAAAGAAGGATTTATTAGATTCTTTACTGCTATTTTTAAGAAGTTTTCTTGTTGGAAAATTGAAAAAAAGATGGATTCCAGTATGATGGATGATCAGTACATGTTTCATACATGCATTGTTCATGATTATGTAGTAAATCCTATATTCTTTAGCAGCAATAAATAATACCTACTGCAGAAAAAATTGTTGTTTAACTAATGACGGAAAACAGTTTTAAATTTACTGAATTCCCACTCTAGTATTGTTGTAATTAAAAGTGAAACTGGAACAAACCGTGAAGTGGAGATATCCAGGAGTGGCTAGTATACCTGTTGAATACAAAACATGTGGTGTTTGTGTGTATTAAGGAATAAAAAAGGGGGTATAAACCTTTTTTTAATACCTTAATACACATGAACACCACATGCTTTGTTTCTAATTTGTCTTTGATTTTTTTTAATGTATGTTTGTTTAAAAATATAAAAACAAGAAATTGGCATTTTAATTTTAAAAATGGATTCAAAAGCAATAGCTTGGTTGTTAATACTATTCTTATTTTATGGAATCTTTTACAGTTAATTTATTTAAAAGAATCAGTTTGTTGCTTAAGTTAGTTAGTGGGAAATTTTTTCTGTCTTCAAAGCGAATAAAGATATCAATACACATTTTACACCATGACTTTAAGCAATTTTAATGCTGTGATAGAAACACATTTAATTTAAATTTTCTGGAGAAAATTTCATAAATTTGGCATTTGATGTTGAAGTAACGCCCTCTAATAACGGCACTAAACATTACAGATTAATAGTAATTGAATTTTGAATAAACACCAATTCCAACGATTCTCACACACTTGATTCTAGTGAAAATTGCATAAGTTACAGCTAGATGGCGTTAAACCCATAATGGCTCAGATTTTTTTAAACTGTCAATAGACATATTTTCGAGTCATTCATTGAGATAGAAAAATATCCTATCTCCTAAGTTGGACTAACAAATACACTTTTAATCAATTTTATTGCAATTGGTTGAGTGGTTTTTGAATATTAGCTTGGACTAACACCACAACACCAGATAAAAACAAATGAAATGACGCACAAAAACTGATATTATAATTAAAAATCTAAAACATAGTATGAATTTATAATTAATTAAACATTTTTTAAAATTTTCAACTAAAAACTTATGCCTTCTATAAAAGTATGTTACTTAAAAGTTGTTGACATTTAGTTACATACTTTGAGTCATTTTCAATATCTATCTATATTAAATACTTAACACGATATAAAGTTTATTTTAAACAAATGTTTCCCGGAAACTGACAAAATAATTAGATCCCTAAAAGCAGATAGGTATCTACGACTTGCTACGATAATAAAATATTTTCTTGATAACTCATAATTATTAAATTCAGGTAGTAATGGGAAAGTCCAGAAAGATCATGAGCAATAGATAGTTTGTTAATATCTAAGTTATAAAATTCCAACTAAAAGAATAAAAATTTATTTTTTTATATAATTTATTTTTAAAATATGCAAAATAAATCGTGTTTAGCTTAAATATGGAATGTTGTTTGAAAGGAGCACAAATATGCAATAATGCATCTATATTAACTTTGCATAATATTCTGCTCTCTAATTATTGAAGCTTGATATAACGCTCCAAATAGTCGCTTAATATGAACTTGTCATTTGTTGTGTTGTTAGTCTGGGTATTTTAAAATATAATCTCTTTATATCAACTAATAAAACCATCACGATTTTCTCTCCAATATATTTATATTAATCCTAATTTTTTTACTATTTTTTAGGCGCCATATTTGCCGTGGATCCTCTTGGCATTTTCTATAATTTTAGGAAACGCGGTGTATGTAGATTTAATGGGTATTGCAGTGGGGCACATATATTATTTTTTAGAGGATGTGTTTCCAAACCAAAGAGGAGGTGTCAAAATATTGAAAACACCAAGTTTCATGTAAGTATATACTCTTGGATCAAATGAATGTTTCACTGTTGTAACAATATAGCTACCTACCTATCAGAAACGGTGGGTGCCAATGTGTAACAATCTAAGCCCAACTAACGTTGGGAGCCAATTGTTTCAGGTTTCGACTAGCTCTAGTCTTTCAGGTGTAGGCATGTTTTATCTTAGATGTAAATCTGAACAAAAAGAAATGTCAGGGACAAATAAAAGATGATATAAACTAATCGCATTTATTATACATTAAAATGGGAATAAAATTTTAATATCAATAAAAAAATTCTGGCTGAAGCTGTACAAAATGTCTAAATATATGGCTTCTTCATGTAGTTGAAAAAACAACTTGTTGCTGTAGTTTATTCCATGTGATAGTTAAATGTAGATGAAGTGGTTTCAGAACATCTTCATCATCATTGGTGCTACAGCCTTATAAAAGAGCCTCTCAACGTTCCCAAGTCTATTACGCCAGTCAGTTCTATCCATTGCTATCTGTTGCCAGTTTGCTGCTCCTATTTTTCTACCATCCTCATCTACACCATCCTCATCTACACCATCCCTCCATCTGAGTTTTGGCCTAGTTCTTCTACTACTACTTTCCACAGGTTGTGACATAAGAATTCTTCTACGAGGGTTGTTCTGCAGTGATCTTGCCAGATGTCCTGCCCATTTTAGTCTTCGTATTTTTATAAGAGATACTACATCTTTACCACCAAATATATATTTATATCTGTGATATATCTCGTAGTTGTACCTCCTTCTCCAAACACCATTTTCACAGATGCCACCAAATATTCTTCTCAGGATCCTTTGTTCAAATATAAGCAGGAGGTTTTCATCTGCCTTGGAAATGGTCCATGTCTCCGATCCATATGTCAACACTGGTCGTATAAGGGTTTTGTATATGGTTATTTTTGTTTTTTGGCTTAAGTTTATGCTTGTCATATGTCTACTCAATCCAAAATAGCATTTGTTTGCTAGGATTATTCTTCGCCTGATTTCTTCCGTCATGAAGTTCTCCTTGGTGATCAGGGAGCCTAAGTATGTGAATTTGTCCACCACTTCAAAGGTAGAGTTATCAACAGCAAATTGGTGGCCGATGTTTCTGGCTCTATTCAGAACATCTTACTGCAGTTTATTTCTTGTGGTAATTGAACATAGATGAAGTAATTTTAGGCCACATTACTGCAGTTTACTCCTGTTGTAGTTGAACGTAGATGAAGTAATTTCATGCCATGTTATGTCCCATGTGCTTCGAGAAATCCCTGCCAAATAGGGGGAAAAGAAATTTTTTAAATGAGGCCCAAAAACCCAATTAAGATTTAAGAATAAATGGGTTTTTGTTGGGTATTTATCTTTATTGTACAGCCAGCAATTGACGGATTTGTAGTTTACTGTTTTTATTTGCGAAAAAACAACTCAAATTCCTACAATATATAAAATTACCAATATACAAACTAATTAATTCCCATTACTTACTGTTCTCTTGCTGTCTGCTAAATTATTTAAATTGTTTCCCTAATTGGTGACAGTTTGTTTCTGAAGTTTTAATATGTCGATAGTCTATAGAACAATAGCAACAGGAAATTTTGGGTAACATGATAAAACTAAAAAAATTAACTGAAATACATTGTGTTTAAATAAATGCTCTATACAAATAATAAATACTCATAACAGATTTGGAAATAAAACACCACTTTAAATAGACAAAAGATATTAAAAAAACATTCGACTTCCAAATTTCTTGAATTTCTATTAATTTGTCTGAATATTCCCATCTAATCGCTTCATTGCATCAAAAAAAATTTGTAAGTACCGAAAGTATTGCGGATAAGCTTTAACATATGTGGAGTGTCAAATATTACATATATTGGTTGATTTCTGACTGGATGTAAAAAATATGCTTTATTAGAATTAATAGATAAATCAACTGCAAGATGATTAGCCATGCGAATATTTGATGCTGAACCATCAACAGCAGCTTCATGCATTATTTTTGAGCACATTTTTAATAGATTACTTTTTTAAACTCCTGATAAACCATTAATTAGAAAGTAGCCTATGGGTAGTTTCTTTGTGTTATTTAAGCTATTAATTAAAAATACAATAGCTTCTCTTGCTTTTGACTTTGGAAGAATAGCTTTGAGGGTACTTCGTATGTCAAAATACCTACAATTGAAGTTTTCAATTATGTAAATAAAAAATATATGTTATGATATTTTTATAATTGCTAATAAATGCAAGGTAAACCTATCCTAAAAACTTTTCATCATCCCATTCTATTGGGTTGCTATGGAAATTGATGCTTACGATGTTAACGCGTTAAGTCGGCGCGTGTCGATGTCAATGAGTCAAATTCTGATCCCCTCTCTACGTGTTGCATTATTTCTTTGTAATACGTAATCCGATTCACCAAAAAACAAAACTCTTTTGAGACCCAATAATGAGGTTAATGATTATATACTAAATATTTTTATATTTTCATTTTTTACATTGGAACAGAAGACGTTTGAGTCGATTATTTTTCACTCATGTGTATTTTAAGAATTCTACAATTTTTAATTTATATGAAACAATAAGGAGTAACTATTTGTCTCTCTCCAGATTAATTGCAAACTGACAATCTGGCAACTGCTGATTTGACGATTGCCAAATCTATTACCTAATCTATCAAAGGGTAATTGCCAAAAAAAATTCTAATAATTAGGAAACGTTCAAAGTAATTTTAGGGTAAATATTTTTTGTAGGCGGATACTATTCGATGCTCTTCCTGAAGATGCAGACTACCAAAGATTGCCAGAAGAAAACCCCGGTGGCTTTCAGTGGGGAAACCAGAACGATGTTCAAAATCAAGAAGACGCTGATAACAATGCAGAAAATCGATAGAAATAGCTGACGGTTGACCTCAGATATTGTAACTTGCTTTAAATAGCGTTTTTAGTTATAGTTTATAAAAGAGAAGACAATTTATGTATATGCAAAACAATTATCGTTATTTGCCTAATTGATTTAAAATATTTACAAGTTTTAAATAGGTTGTAGATATTGCTTAACTTTTGATATTTGTATTGCCATAGGGTTCGTCTTACAAACTAAATTTAATGTGGGAGAATTTGAGACTGCAAGAATGTCCAAGATATTGGGACTGCATTGATGTCTACTATTGCGATATTTAGTAGAAAAGCGGCTCAATGTTAATACCTCAATAATCTTAACAGTATAGTAAGTAATCAGAATTCCTCACCCGAAACTAATCCGAATTCCTTACCCGAAACTAATCAGAAATGCCGTCGTTTTTGATAAATAGTTGAAATTCTTACTTATTTATTATTTTAGGTACTTCTGCATTCAAGTTATTGCTTATGTAGATTTCCTTTATTTTTCGTTCTGCAAGCTTACGTTCCCTTATCTAGTTACCACATTATTAAACCGTAGAACATATAAATGTTCTATGGTTTTCAGGAGAAGAGCATACAACGATAATTGTTCTACATTTACTATATTCCGTTGGTTGATTACTTAAATTGTGACTAAAATATAATTCTATGATATTAAACAACTGAAACAACAGAATGCTCCATATACTAGTGGCCAAAATTCTGGAAACTTTACAAAATTTTTAGATTTATTAGCATCACTATTTTTCACACTTAATGTTATTTACGAGATTATCTATAATTTTTTGCATCGTTTTATGCTTCTACTTAATATTTAACATATATTTTAAGAGAAGAAACCCTCTAAAAATTTAAAAATAAATCAAACAGTTATTATCACTAGATTAATTTAAAAAATGGCACAATATTTTTATTATGAAGAAAATTAATATTTGGTGGAATAATCTTTATTTTTTAGCACGGCTCGATTCTGAGATGCATGGAGTTCACCAGACGAACCAAATCTTTTGGTGTAATAAACTATTGTATATAGTACATACTATAGTATTGTAATATACCATAATAATAGCTTATTACTATGGCAATAGATTTATTGATGCAAGATTTTCTATTCGATTTAGATTGGGAATATTTCCAGACCAAGGCAAAATGAGAACGTCATAGTTTTTCAACCATTACATTGGTTGTATAACAGGGCGGTCCATCCTGCTGGAAGATTCATTTTTGAGCATCCCCTTTAAACAAATCTCTGATAGTCGGCAGCAGTTTAACTTGTATTATTTCTTCCTATGATTTTTTTTACACTAATATTGCCCTATATTATATAGTGACTTAAAACCGGGGGAGTGTACTAAGATTTTTGCCTGTGTTTTTTGTTCAAGACCGGCTTCTTTCTTGGGGTTCTTGTTCGCAATTCATTTTCACATAACTTTCTTCTGATATTTATAAGGCAGTTGATTTGACAATAGAATTAATATCTTTTGCGGATCTGCGATGATCTTTTAAAGACAAGCGGTATATTCTGAGCTCATCGAATTGACTAACTTTTGGTTTTCTACCGGTCGTTTTGGTGATTTTGTCATTTCCCGTATTATAATAACGTTAACAAACTGTCATTAAACCTGATTTTGTCATGCCACTACCCAATTTGTTTGCCAATTCTTACATTATTCACGGAGGATAATTGCTTTGGCTCTCTTTCCTGGTGACCAGTCAACACGTTTTGGGTTTCTGGGAGTCATTTTCATTGAATAAACACTGATATGTCCCTCTCGGAAAATTAAAAAATATCACCTTCGTAACAACTACTTAAAGTCATTAATAAACACTGGAAGTTGCAGTAAGCTGTTGATGATGGGAAGACCTGGTTCGTTTCTGTGACCCGGGTCTTCCAGGTCATTCATTAAAATGATCCGTTCATAAAGATCCGTTTATATGAACTACTAATTAAATTTGTCGTTTTAAAGTTAAGTGTATAGAGTAGAGTTTAATATTGATTTGTTTATGAATCTTTCTGAGAGTATATATGAATTAATGATAATGCAGAACCCCTTCATAGAGATTCGTTCATTAGAACGAATTATAATATTTAATTATATTGTTGTTTACGTGTAGAATTCGATATTGTTACTATACATTTAAGAATGAAATATGGTTTAAGGCTGACATTAAGATTTGTATTTATTAAATCATCTTCAGAAATCATTGAAATATAAAAAAAAATACTTGAAAAAGTTATGTAAAATTACAAATTCCATATTGTTATGTTCATGAATGAATGATAACAATTAAATGGATTCTAATTCTTCCAAATTCATAAACAAAACAGACTACGGGACTATCGACTCGACAATTCGAATGTATATAATTTTACAGTTTTGCAGCCGGGTTTGGCCGTTCTGGAAAACTGAAATCAGCGTTTGAACGATCCTTTGCGGTTCGCGGTTCATGAATTAATTTGACCGAGCAACGTGTCGCGATCACACAGTTCGTTTCGTAAACACTAGACAGCGACATTCATAGGGTCATTCGAACGATTGGGTCACAGAATGTGATTGTATCAATCACGGGTCTTCGAAAAGATCAAATCTTTGCGAATGGATCGTTCGCGACCTTCTCATCGCTAGAAGCTGTACTAAACGCTTTCAATTCGACGACCAAATCACGCTACTCGTCGTTGACTGACTAGGGAAATTAAACACTAGAAATACATTATTTCCAGTGGTGCCGTACAAATCTCGAATTTTCATACTTTGCTTGCATTCGTTTCCATATTTTATTAAATATATATATATATATATATATATATATATATATATATAAAGCAATAAAATCATCACAAGATCATGAGAGAAGTGTTGCTGGAAAAAGAATAATTTTTGAAAAGTTTCCAGATTTTTGGCCTAGCGTATATATACGAAAGATTGAATGTAAGTAAATATGTGAGCGGCTGCCCCCAAAGGTCACTGTAATATTTTTACACCGATTGATGCTCCGCAAATTGCACAGTGACAGTCGTAATTGGTGAAGTTGTGTTTAGCAAACACAGTTGATCTTAAACAACTCACAATATCGCAGATTAAGAGTATTAAAACATTTATACATTTTTTTTTTCTTAATACAATACTTAGCTAACAATATTTGCGGATATTTCTGGAAGTAGGGGGTAACAGTAATAGGAAACTTAGGCGTCACAGCTAAAGTGTCCCACTAGGAATACCGAACTATGTGCGGAAATTGTAATCTTCAGTAAGAACTGTTGACAATTGAGCTAAATAATTGAATTTTTGAAATTCTGTATATTCACGAGGGAAGTTCGGCTGTTCCTGATTCACTCGCTCAACATCTGCTTAAGTCGCTCAAGTCTTTATCGATTCAAACTGACTTAAAGGTAAGTCGTTGAGTTTAGAGTATTTCCATTTTTTAGAATCTTTCCGGCAAGCTTTACATACAACTTTACGATACATACATTTCCTTGATTTTCATCTGCCTTTAGATATTTTTGGTCAGTAGTCTAAAATCTTGGCTTCTCAATATTTGGCATCCCTAAATAGATTATGAATCAACAAATTCTAAAGGTTCGGAATCAACTGAATGTTCCCCTTCCTCTTATTCCCTCTGGTTGCGCTGTTAAAAAAGTCGCTATATAGGTATCTTATGCTAGAATTTAACCACCTTTCCATTCGACCTAAGAAATCTAGTGTGGCTCATTCCTAGATTAAATTTGCCTTTTTAACAAAGTGTCTTATGACCATTAGTGACACTTCTACGAAGTTCTAGGACTGGAGTTGATAATCCTAGAATGTATTGAGCCTTATCCGATCCAACCCTGGGCAGTTACACAGAAAGTGTTTCGCCGTCTCGTTTTTAGCCTGAAAACATGTTCCAGACAACACACAACCCAAACATTTATCAGAACATGTTTTTGTTCAGAAAATAGTTGGGGACTTTAGACGCGACCTGTATAATGTATTAGAATTGATTAATTCTCCTTCTCCGCTGTCCTTTATAGTTTATAAGGATGTGGTGATGTTATTGTACTCTACTTATGGTTTTTGTGTATTCTTCTCTCACCTGCGCCTGGTGTGCTGCGATGGTAACCATCGAAATGGCGATTTTCCTTGATTGCTTTTAACATCTACTTTTTCTCTAACCACCAATATATCTATGCCTTTCCTTCGTCTGACTATTTGTCCAAATAACCTCAATATATTTTGTTTGATGATTGTTGTAAGCGTATAAGTTCATCTGTTGATGTTGCTAATATTAACGTGTCGTCAGCATAGCTGAGATTACGGATTTTTCGACAACTGCCTGTTATTGCTTCTTGCCATCCATCAAATACAATGGCATAGGTACAGTTGTGTTAGTATGTTTATTGGATGTTCGGGGGTACCATTTTTTTAGTATGCCACACATTTTCTGCCACTTTACGTTGTCTAATGCTTTTGAGTAATGAAGCATAAATAAATTTCTACACTTTTCTATAATTTGTCTCTAATTCGTCCAATCTCTGTTTGAATACGCTACGGATCACACTGAAAGTTTTATAGTTTTCTAGTAATTCCTCAATCGTGGTTTTTTCATTCGTCGGCATTTGAGATATTTTTGTGGAGTGAACTCTCCGAATAGCTACCAGGAGTTAACTTATTAGTGTTGAGGTCAGAGGTCGAAGTAGAAGGTTGACCAACAACGCTACATACGTCAACACTCGACCGGTTTTGGGTGGGCTAAACCTACATACACACATCAACCGTCGGAACCAACGTTGTCGGTCACGACAGTTGGGTGGTTTAGTCGTGTGTAGGTGGTTTAAACTGGCAATGGGATTTGTCATGACTTGACATGTATGGAATGCCAGACAATTTGTAAGCAAAATTGTGTAAACGTTAACGACTAAAGTTGATATCATGTGAAACCTGACATCGACAGCAAAATTATATTTTGTTTACACTTGCAAAGACAAAAAACGTACATGTAACTTTTTATATTTGAAATTATACATCTCTTCTTTCTCTTTTTGAAGTAAACAGGTAATTATAACATGCACGTGAATTAATTTCATCGTTTTTGAAATTTTTCTAGGTATGCATTGTTTAGTTGAGGATTATTCAGCTCTTGCAATAATTAGAAGTTATGACATAGCACACTTAGTTAAAAAATTGCATATTCTGCATCTGTTAATAAAATTAATATAATTAGGTATGTGTTTTTTAATATTATTTCTAGAATTTATTAGTTTCAAATTAATTTTTTTATTTATGGCATATAATGTGAACTGAAAATTGATTTTTAAAACTTTATTATCTTGAATTGAATTACTTGAATGACTATTAAAAGACTATTCTCAATTTGAAAATGCATGATAGCACAGTTTGTATGACAGAAGATTACAACGATATTTATATACCTCTCAAAGCAGAAAAATTATAAGTATAGTTACCTTCTTGTCTTAGTTATGTACAAGAATTTATAAAAAAAATACGAGCACCCCGACAAACTTCAAATACAATACTAGCTAAAATGTAAATGAGCTGTGTCATAAAAATTGTACTATCAGTAATTTTCAAACGCAGTATACTAGGTATATATTCGCACAAAAAAATTCCAAGTATAAACAACACATTATGGTGTACACGGTCGCACTGAGAACTGTGGACGATTTTGTATTGACAATTTTATTAATTTACTAAAAATAATATTTTGTTTTTTAAATAAAACAAATATTAGTAGCTACAAACGTTTAAAAGTGAAAATCTAATAGAGGTGTTTATATCGACTAAAACCTGTTTACTCATAGCTGGTATTTTGTATTGATATATTGGTTACCAGCTTACAATTCGTGTTATGGCATTACTTCTTCCTGACGTTTCGTCTACGACAGCATCAACGGTAATGCGACAACGTTTGGAGTTGTCTTACGGACGGCGACTGAGTGAGTGAACATTGCCACATAGTCTTTTATGTAGACCTCAACCTTTAACCTGCAAGAAGTAATTCTAGACTATGGTCTAAAAGTCTGAAATCCAATATATCGCTATAAAATTTTGGCCATATTTTGAAACGTTTAAAAGGTAATATTTGAATATGAAAACGAAATCTTAGTCTAATCATTCGTTTTGTTTGGGATTTTATTCTGTGAATATGATTTATTTATTATAATATTGATTTGTGTAAAAGATATACTGTATCTGTGGGTCAGATATGTCAGTTATGTAATATTAAATAAGCCAGATGGCACTTTTAACCACAAAATGTATAGTGTCAAAAGTTCTATTTCCTTATCTTGTGATAATATAAGAGTAACGAAACAGTAGGTTTTTGTTAATATTTTTCCTTATTTATGGGTGTAATTATAATAAAATTTTTAAATAACTCCTTTGTAATTATTTAATACTAATAATAGTCCTACTTAGTATCGATAGAGCAGCACTGCATAATATTCGTATCTGTCTGTCCTACATTAGGGGAGATTAAGAAACAATGAGATTTTTCCCTCCAAAAAAATTATTATCCCAGCGTACACTAAAGAAAATTAATCTCACTGAGATAGTCATACTTTATTGATCCTATAAGACATTCAAAATAAATGTATAGGATATGTCACTATAGAATTCAGTATAAAAACATTAATGTGTATAATACAATATTCACAGTGTAACAAAATTGACAAAACATAAAACATTTTTACAAGTAAAATATGAAGCTACTGCAGTTTGTCCTCAAGATATGCATTTATAGAATAATATGCTTTCCTTAAAAGTAAATCTTTCAATTTTTTTAAACTTAGTTGAAATACCACTTAAAGTAGTATTTCTTTCATCGTTTTTGGCAAATGATTGTATAAGGTCAGTCGCATATATCTGAAGCAATTTTGGAATTTGGATGTTCTGTGTTTGGGAACTCGTAAAGATTCAGCACTTCTTGTATTGTAATAGTGATTGTCTGAATTTACTGGAAATGTATTGATTCCCTCTTTTACATAAAGTAAACATTTGTAGATATATAGGCAGTAGAAAGTTAAAAATTGGTTTAGAAGATTCTTGATAACCCAAATAAAAAATTTTAAGGATAATTTTTTTTGGATAATGAACACTTTGTTACTATCTACTGAGTTCTCCCACAAAATTACATTATAGCACATGTGGCTGTAAGCAAAGCTATAATAAACGTTCATTAATGCCGAGATGGGTAGTGTGTTTTTAATTCTAGATATAGCATAAAAAGCTTTATTCAATTTCATGTTCACTGAATTCACTTGCTCTGACCATTTGAGATTACAATCAATGAACACACCCAAAAACTTTGTAGAGTGAGTGGAAGGAAGATAACATATTGTTTCTATCATGGATGGTTAAGATATAGTCATAGGTAGATGAGTTGTATGAATGAAAGTAAATAATTTTCTTCTTGTCAATGTTTAATATTAGTCTGTTGGTATTACACCAGTTTATAAAGCAGTCAAGAACATCAGCAGAGGTATCGTCAGCCAAAATTGATAATATAAGTGCTCTTATGTGATCTGGTAGGTCATTAATAAAAATTATGAATAATAATGGCCCCAGCACGGATCCCTGTGGTACTCCTTTATTTGTCGTGTATAGTTCTGAGCTTGATTCTTTCATTTTAACAACACTCTTCTTGTCACTTAGGAAATTTATTACCCATTCTAGAAATATCCCTCTAAAACCAACGTCATATAATTTATTGCGAATAAATGTTATGTCCATAGCATATGAAGTGTGAATCAAACAACAAATAATCAGGTAGTGGAAATAAGTTATTCTATGCCCAATGTTCAAATAAAGGGGACTTTGCACATACGGGTATTTTCATAATTTACGCCGCCAAAAGTCGATTTTTTTAAATAAAAAGTACTTCTATAAGTAATAAAATAACTATCTGAGGTACAGGGACCTTCTGGGAACAGTACTCACCCCTCCCGATCGCCCTGCACATTCCTTTAGTAATATTACATTGCTTTTAAAAATAATACATAATAATAAAGGGAACTTCCCTGTTTTTTGTCAAACAATTACAATTGCAAAAACTTACGTTCTCCATTCAACAATACAGGATAGTTTGAACCATGTTCTTCCAACCATTAATTAATAGAGTACCGATATGTAAGTAATGTTTTATTATTTACTAATTTATTACAATGCAATAGGCTATTTTATACCGTATTATACCAATTTGTGGGTCTTACCTTGACTGCCTAAACAGTTTATTCATTTTGAAAAACCACAGACATGTAATATTATCATAATTACTGTAATTTATATCAGTTATATTTGTTTATCTTTATAAGACAACACTCTAATATGGGTTTTATTATTTCAGCATTTAATTAACTTTGTATCGAGACCTGAAGATGCTTTGCATATTGTAGAAAGCGAAACCGATCGTCTAGATAGTTAAATTGAACTGATTGGGAGTAAGTCTTATTTATTATTTCTTTTACCTATTTGAAATGGACTCACACAAGCAACATATTCATGATTTAAATATAATCAAATTTTACATTAAAATGTAACAATTCTTACTGAGGCATATGGTTGACTTCTATCAATTGCCAATTGGTTTCTGGTCATTGCATTCACTCCCAACTATTTCATCATCATCATCATTCTGGCTTTACAACCGTACATGGGTCCTAGCCTCCTCAAGAATTTCTCACCAGTCGTCCCTATCCATCGCCTTTCTCCGCCAAGCACGTATTCCCATATTTCTGATGTCTTCATCGATTCCTTTGTAATTTCCAAATCTTCCAGTAAATCCACCTCCAGATAGTTTTTCATTCTACTAATGTCATGTAAAATAGATGAACCAGTATTGATGTTAAAATTGTGTTTACTGGATAAGTGTTGACCAAAACTTGAATAGTTTGTTCTTTTCAAATGTTCTGAAACTCTAGTGGATAACTTTCTAATGGTTTTACCTACATTATAGGCATCACAATTATCACATTTTAATTTATAAATACCACTTTTGTCAAAAGTGTTTATCCTATCTATGTTGTTGATTAAAAAGGAACCTAAAGAGTTGTGTGACTTGAAAGGAAATTTTGAAGTAAAGTTATTCAATTGTAGAAGTAAAAAGTTTAGATATTTTATTGGAAATGTTGCTAATATAACTGAAGGAAAAATATTTGATGTTATTTAAAGCATTAGGTTGAAGAAAACATTGTGATGAATATTCAAGCTTTTCTGCAATTTTAAGTTTTTTTTTTTGGTCAATGCTTAGTTTCACAGAACTCCGAAATGTGCAGATCACACAACCACGACTGTGACTGCCCAGCCAAGCTGTTATATGTCACTTCAACATTTCCGTTAGACCGTGAGCCATTCTGTCTCCGGTCTCCATATATAATAACGTTAAACACATAAAAACTTTTATCAACCATCAACTTCGAGTTTTTATCGAAGTTAATTAATTTCTTCAGTTAGATATCCCTGAAGATATTCAGTTTTAGGCTCACTTCGTCAATTGTGGCCTATCCAACAAGAATAAAGTGTTATAAACATAAGGTTGTGCATCGCACTACACTGCACGGGGGCAAACACTTTAAAATTTAAAAAAAATAGGTGAAGCTACATTATATACGGAGACCGGAGACAGAATGGCTCACGGTCTAACGGAAATGTTGAAGTGACATATAACAGCTTGGATGGGCAGTCACAGTCGTGGATGTGTGATCTGCACATTTCGGAGTTCTGTGAAACTAAGCATTGACAAAAAAAACTTAAAATTGCAGAAAAGCTTGAATATTCATCACAATGTTTTCTTCAACCTAATGCTTTAAATAACATCAAATATTTTTCCTTCAGTTATATTAGCAACATTTCCAATAAAATATCTAAACTTTTTACTTCTACAATTGTATAACTTTACTTCAAAATTTCCTTTCAAGTCACACAACTCTTTAGGTTCCTTTTTAATCAACACCATAGATAGGATAAACACTTTTGACAAAAGTGGTATTTATAAATTAAAATGTCTTCGTCGATGTTATCAAGAAACCTTGTTCTAGGTCTTCCTCTTCTTCTCTCACCAATGGGTCTATCAAGGAACGTTTTTCTAGCTGGGTCATTTTGTTCCATCCGCATTACATTTTCTATCCACCTCAGACGTTCTGTCTTCATATGTTTTACGATATCAGGTTCCTGTTCAAAGTTGTATCGTCTTCTCCACACCCCGTTGTCAGCCACTGCTCCATAAATTCGGTTTAGTACTTTTCTTTCGAAACATCCTAACATGTTTTCATTATTTTTTGTTAGAGTCCAGGTCTCTGAACCATATGTTAGGACTGGGCGTCTTATTGTTTTGTAGAGTGTTATTTTTGTATTTCTCGATACAATTGTGGATTTAAGGAGGAGGTTGAGCCCAAAATAACATCTGTTGGCCGTGCAAATTCTGCGGTAGTATTATTTTCAGTGTTAAGGAGCGCTCCCAGGTATACAAATTCGTTCATTGCTTATACGATGTCGTTTTCTATAACAGGTCGTATTATTTTTGGCTGCTTGCTTATTTTCACCTGTGAGGATTTTTTAAAAACGTAGTCTGGTATTTCAGAGGACAATTTAAACTTTCCATGGCTCTCTTTTTTTATTTATTTTCCTTCTTTTGCTCTTGTCAAAGAATGAAACAAACATGATTTCGTCTTCTTTTGATTTAGAATCTAATAACAGCAATTAATACTCTATTGAAGTTATCAAGCCAACTGGGCGATGAAGAATTGTGAAAACTTTTCGTCCTCATTACTTACGCGATACCTTGTATTATCCAGTAATCCAAGTAGATGTAGATGCCATCTAAGCCTACAATGGCTAGAAATATACTACCCATCAGTGATCAAACTAGCCTGTTTTATAGTTACGTATACAGTTGTGGTAATTTGAAAACTGCATATAGCATGTATAGAGCATGGACATAAGATATAATTTCATGAAATTAGTAGACATTTTTCAATTGTAAGTAGACACCATCTGATTAAAAAGATCTGTTTAGTATCTTTTTAATTTAATATTTCTCATGGATGCAAATAAATTAGTGAAATGAATAAAACTCATTTATTTTTCTATGTAGGTTTCCAAATAATATTGACGATCGAACTATTTTGGTAGCAAATTTAGGAGAAAACATAAAGATTTTTTATTGTAGCATTATGTTGATACCTATTAAAAATCAACTTGAATTCAACTATATTTTATTGTATTAATTTTAAAGCAAATAAAATTATATTTTAATTTTTCTATAAAGACGTGATTTGTTAATAGTTAAACTCTCGTTTTTTTTTTAAATTCTTTGAACGTGTTTTTATACATTATTACTACTTCCAATTTTTAAAATCTGAATAATAACCCGCG